GTGTCAGTGGCAGAGGAGCTGCCAGCGTCGGTGTCAGTGGCAGTGGCAGAGGCAGAGGAGCTACCAGTATCAGTAGCAGAGGAGCTGCCAGTGTCAGTACCGGTCGAGCTGCCAGTGTCCGTGGCAGAGGAGCTACCAGTGTCAGTAGCAGTCGAGCTGCCAGTGTCAGTAGCAGTGGCAGAGGAGCTGTCAGTGTTAGTGCCAGTGCCCGTCGAGCTTCCAGTATCAGTGGCAGAGGAGCTGCCAGTGTCAGTACCAGTGGCAGTCGAGCTGCCAGTGCCAGTAGCAGTCGAGCTTCCAGTGTCCGTCCCAGATGTGGAGGTGGCTGTCGTCTCGGTTGAGCTTCCAGTGTTGGTGCCAGATGTTGTCTCAGATGAGCCTCCAGTGTTGGTGCCAGATGTTGTCTCAGTTGAGCCTCCAGTGGCAGTGTTGGTCGGGCCAGTGGACTGGCTTCCAGGACAAATTGTGCTGATGAATTACAGAAACAATTAGTAAGGATTCTTCAACATGCAACATGAAAAGACCAAGACAACTTACATGGTATTCGTCGAGCCGTTATTAGTCGCAATCGTGACGACAGTGTCAATGACACCCGGTGCACCAGTTATGGTTGCCACAACATTGGGAGCCAAGGTGATGGGACCATCGGTAGGGAAGTAGCCCGAAATACGGATAGGCTGCTGCACAACAGTCTCTGTCGGAGCAAGGCCAACCGTCATGGTGCCAAAGGGGCAATAGTCTGAGCACGCTGCATCTTGACGCTTCTGAAGCGCTGAGAGCAGCCTGAGGCCCAAAGCTTTGGGTACCATGATGGAGGAGGAGGAGAGAAAAAAAGAAAAGAATGTGAAGAGGAAGGCTTTTGCAGAGCTGTATTCCTCCTTTGAATGAGAACACGAGTTGAGATGAATATCTTCACTGGATGGTACCAGTGTTTATAGTCGGCAAGGGGAGCCCCAGTTGCAACCACTGGCAGGAAGAGAGGGAGGAGGCTCGGCATGGCCGCACGAACACGGTCAAGAATTGAGTTTAAGCCAAAAGGCCTTATTGACGCCTCTTTACTCAGCTGGTAAAAATGCCAAGTTCATTTCAAATTTCTGATAACTTGTCCCATTCCGGCGAGGACGATGGAGATTGTCCGCGAGTCGTCGCGGCGGCTTACTGGCTTCGTCTACTAGGACGATTCCAGACTTCTCCCGCCCACATCCCCCAGCTACTAGTCTCTGCATGCTACCTTGATCAGCTCATATCCACATCGTGGTTGAATCTGATTACTGTGTTTATTTACCATTTTTTTGCCAAGGGAAAAAAGAAAGGCGCTCGATTTGAGTTTACGCGTTTTCTTCGACAGCCCACCCACACCGTAAACGTTGCAGAGGACTCTTGGTATCTGGACCGCCAAGCCACAAAGGAATCAATAATCCACAGACGTTCTCAAAACATACAAGCTCCATCTATTAACTTTCGGAGCGTTTTCAGACGAGCTAGGATACAGCTGGCTGTCTACGGACAGTCCGAGCTAGTCATGCATGTCCTTTGTGGCACGGTGAGGCTTGAAAGCAAAAACATCTTGCCCATCCTGTATAAGAGTCTTTAGCAGCCCATCATTCCACTGTAACTCGCCTTACACCCACCTTTGTACTTTAATTTTTTTTCCTTCTTCCTCCCCAAGTTTCTTCACTCTTTACATCGCCATGCGCGTTCCAGCTACCACCGCAGCGCTTTCGCTGCTTTTCAGCGCTGGCTATCTTTCTCTTGTTGATGGTTGCCCAACGACTGAGACTGTGACGCTTTCAACTGTCACAAGTACCACCACACTTCCTACGCAGACAGTTACGGGAGCGCCTGCGCCTACGGGTACTGGAACCAACCCTGGAGGCAATGGTAACAACCCTGGGGGCAACGGCAACAACCCCGGGGGTAATGGCAACAATCCCGGTGGAAATGGCAACAACCCC